GTACCCATTAAAGAGGGCTGAGGTTATCTATTTGTTTTGTTATTACATATCAGTTCTTTCCTTAATGGGTAACCAAAAATAGTATCTTCTAATTCATATTTACGCAGTGACCTTCATTGCTATCTGATTTATTGTCATGGCATTTAGTTTGTTAGTTTTCTTATGTGATCTATAATCATTGCATGGTACTATATAAATGGAATTGTTCCTTTCCAATTTTTGACTTCTACTCAGAATATAAAGTTGTCTTGAAAGTTTCATGTTCCCTACCTCATATTAGCTGCGTAAGGATTATTAACGTTTGCGTGTCAGATATCCAGTGTATTCTAGTTCCTATTCATTGAGATTTTAATAGAAAAATTTTCAATCTTTCGCAAATAGAGTTTATTGTAAACCAAATGGAAAACCCAATACATTATCGTTTTATTAATACGTAATAGTACCCTTATTTACTTTGTAAAATAGTATGAGTCTGATCATCCATGTGAATTAATGTACATTCTGCAACTACTTTCAGAATGTATTATCATTATAACACTTTTGCATAGCGTTTTGTATGATCAGTCGGGAGTAATTCATACTAAAAAAGGTATGGTCAATATTGAGAACATATCGTGGTGAGTAGTTGGATGTAGTCACTAGGATACTTTAGACTCAGGCTTCGTGATAGTTGATAACCGTTAACAAGGAGTATCCGCAATGTTGAAGGAACTGATATGCTCTGTGAAATTCCAACCCACGTCGGCCAGAGTCTCGGTTTTACATGTTACCATTAAGTTGTTTAAGTCTTTACTGATCTCCTATATCAATAGTTTATTTACATCGATTGATCATTGAGCAGTGACCAGTGTCATTTTTGTCTGTTCCTTAGTATTGACCACTCAATCACGTTGCAGTATGGTCGTTATTCCGAGTGCGCTATGTTTCGATGCCAGGTAGTTAACAGACACTACTGAAAAGGGCCAAATAGAACGAAACTTAAGTCTAGGGTGTCCTGCCGACTACCTCCAAATATCTTACATATAAGCATTGTATATTTGGTGTTGAGTCACTGAAACTAATGCACACATTGCAGCTTGATTAGTGGAATAAGATCAAGACTATGGACTAGATAAACATGATATTGATCAATCAATATAAAAAGATAGCGGAATCATGACAACCGTACTCATGGCAGACTGGCATCAAGTGAAGAATCATTACACAACAAGGAAATCGGAAGTTGCTTCACCTTAACTGGAAACTCTTTGAAGAGATAATGGAACGTCACTGGGCCCTAGCCAAATTATCGAACAGTTTACCGATCCTCATCAACATCAAGAACCAACGCGCATTATTCAATGGCTTGCCATGGTCAGGTGCATGAGACAGTCGTTCCGCCTTGCATTTCTGTTTACTGTTATTACTGTTGTCCATTGAGAGAATTTATTCTAGCCAGTCGTCTGATCATCAAGATAGCATAATCCAGGTTATGTAATAACCACGAAGAGTGACTTCAACGTAAGCCAGGAGATCACATAATTCCCATCCAACTTTAGTAGCCTTGCAATCAACGTCACAGATCACCTACATTGGTGATCGGCATCCTCATTATCGTCCGTTCATGAAACAAAATGAGAATAAACTTAATATTTTTAAGTCAATCAGGTAACACCACAGCATTTTGTTCAGAGATGAAATTCAAAATTCTTCATCTTTACAATTCAATTACTAACCGATATTCATTCAATGTTATTTGTGAGTTATTCTACTAATAACAATGTATTGATAGAACAATTTTTTCGTAAACCATCTCAGTTACTAGGACATGAAGTTATGCTTCAGAAACTTTCTCATATTGAAACCATGAAATTGAAGTAAGTTATTATCAGATAATGAAATTTAGTAAAAATTTAATAATGGTTAGAACAAGTAAGTTTAATTCAGAAGTAGCTTAGTGGTTGGGTTATTCAATTTCCAGCTAGTAGGTCTTAAGCAAGAGTTCAAACCCCTTACACTTAGTTGGCTTCAGACAGTCGGGTAATATTAATAGACTTTAAACATCGATTATGGTTCTAAGCCAAATATAGGGTTATTCAGTGGTTTATGTCTAGAAGAAATAATTAAAATATAAGTGTTCTGCTGAAAATCGTCACTATGATTAATCTTACAGTCAGTCAACTACAACGTAGGACCAGGCACATATATGAATCGGTCCAAGTTGCCATACCTCATTAGCAAAACAAGATCACCGCCGGATTCATAGAAGTAGTTAATTCAATGGTGGTAATTCATAAAAAAATTGCATATAAGTATGTAGTACATGAAGAAAGAATTACTTGGTAGAAAAAAAGATATGTCAATTTTAATCTCTTAGTTTAAGAGAAAACAGAGAATAAATACACCGACACCATTGTGATCGATTCTGAGCCCTGTCACCCAGAGCTTCCAACCAATGATTACGATAGTCAAGCGGACCCCAACTAAATAGTCTCTATCTACCAACATGTCTAAGATTAATCTTACATAATTAATTCATTTAACATCAAAAGTTATTGGCACGTAAATTCAAAGTTTTAAATTTGGCTGACCTTATAAAAAATGTTTAGTGTTTGGTACGTCATTAAATAAATATTTATGTAAATAAAATGTTGATGTTTTTCATATAACTACTGTTGTTATGTAACCAATTCTTGGCTAAAGAATTAAGTTCAGACATTATTTTTAAGGAACAACAATGTGACTAGGAATTGAAATTGACAATGTTTTTTTCCATAACTATTTATAATTATAATGAAATACTTAATTTAATTAGTGAGGCAAACTGTAAATTTGTGTAAGTGGCAACTTGCATAACAATGTAAACATACAGGTAAATGGTCTCAATTTCATGACTGATGGTAAGATTGAATGGTTTTTTATATATTACATGTCAATTGACTAGAACAGTAAGACTTTAGGGAAGTCTTACTAAGTTAGCTGAACTCTAATATCCATACGGAAATGTTAACTTGGTTAAAGTTGTACATAGTAGATATCGTAGAATGATATCACCTGGAACACCATAGAAAACAAGTTAGAACTGAACAGTTGTTTCATCATAGTATGGAACTCCTCAGTTGCGCACACCCATCATCTCATAAAGGATAGAAATCAGTATATTCAATCCTCACTTTATTATTTATTTGAACACATAAAGATTGGTACAAAGGAGCACTGAATACATATGCGTCACACAAGTCAGTTGATTTGTGTGCGGCATGCCATACTGCCCGGCTGCCCAGGTCGAAGCAGATGGTTTTCTTATGAGGTCTAATTTACGAGGCAGTGGAGCAACGTAAGGAGCTCCAGTCCCGTGGTAGCCCATGGTCAATAATTGGCTCATACGCCATTTGTTCCCTCAGGATACTGAAGCTCATGTACACCATTGGTTTGGATGCAAGTTTTTCGAACTCCCGTAGGTGGACCCTCCGTTCCCACAAACCCGGTTAAAGCATCGGACATACGTTTTCCATCCTCTCACTTTCGTAAACAACACCCCCGCCACGAGAAGGAAGTGTGTAGAACTTCCCTAGCAGTGGTTGTATACGCGTGGCCATGTGAGAGCGTTTGGGGTATACCAGCGTACACTTGGCCATTAGAACTCCTGGGCCGGCGTCTAATGATACAATTCCAACTTCAATCAATTTGCGATACGGCGCAACGACCATCTGATGACATAGGCAATAAATGTTTCCCTCGTGAAATATCTAAAATCCACTTGTCATGATCTATCACTAGAACTTCGGAAATATCTGGAAGCGGGAAGGCTCGAAGGTCCTCAGTTCGACCTCTGATGAGTTCGTGGGTGCACACTGCTAGGACGAAACAAATATTCAGTGATTTATTTTGTTTTTCAATAGTACCTCGAATGAGCTCAATCTATAACGAATAATGCCTAAAAATTAAAACCATCTCCATAAAAACACTAAATAAAAATTGTTATTGCATTAATTACAGATGTCAAACTCCACATTTGAAGTTTATTTCTATCACGAACCAACATCAGCTGGACAAATATTGAAACCCAGGAACAGTGTATATTTGTCTCGTCGTAGTTTGCTTTTGCATTCGATCACTGATGAGGTCGTGTGTGGGTGCTGCAGGGAACTACTAAACTGTACCACACAGCAAATATCCATTTGTCGCACAGATTAATTTGATTTAACTACAAAATAATGAAGATTGAACAATTGGAGTCCACAATCACACAAGGAGTTATTTCTGTAGTACAAATAACTACTGTTTTTCGAATGTAAATATTGTAGAAGTTATTACTAATCGATTTAACATCTGGAACATAATTTGGTGATCACGTGTTTTTGAAGGTTCAATGATTTCGGGATCATAAGTTAATTTTTTCTGTTAGCAGTAACGCTAAATAACCGACCCTCATGAAAAATTAAAAACATTCAACATACCAAGTTACCATACTAATTCCGCATAAAGAAACGAAATTAACCCGATGTCTAGTTAGGAACTAGTAGTTTCATGAGCAATAAAATCAAGGTGTGTATAGTAGTTATGAAAAATCCATAGCATTTATACCTAATCTACATATACTTTGAAACAATTTCTCATTAATCTTGTTTTGACAACCTAATACAAAATCCAAACTTAGTTGTTACGATTATCTACTCACAGTTTCCATATTACTATTCACTATACTTAAATATTAATATACAGTGAGACAATTACTTCAAACGAATTTGAAACATTAAACTCTACGAAATGTTCGGTACATCTTATTTACTTAATTACGCCTGTTGTTCCTCGTAGAGAAGCATCGACCACCCACCAGCACTTTTAAATGGTTTGAATTATTTTTTATGGTTAGCGTTTTTTTAGCGCGTTAGTTTTCTACGGGACGGGGTCGCTAACCACATGCACAAAACTCCTATTTTATCAGGGCTTGGGACTAGTGCCTGTAGATGAGCTACACGCAGAGTTGTTCAGTACATCCTCTCAAGCAACAACACAAAGCAAAACTGAATAGATTTTATTTTGTAAAAGTAAATCAGATTTCATAGAGGATTATAACACTGTACTAATTATGTATATTTTTTTTCAAAAAGCGGCGATCTGAGAGATTAAATGTCTTAAAAAGAGCAAAAATAAGCGAAGAAATTAACCACAGTTTTATAATGCAGTCTTTATTAAGATTTTTATTCTTTTTTTTTTAAATAAAAAGAAAGAAGGGGGAACTAATATTGAGAAAACAGGGATTTAAAAACAAACAAACACAATTTTCCTTTAATACATAAGAAAAATATTTACCAACAAATAAGTCACAATCAAATCTCTATTGAACACAAATTAAATATATTTGGTTAGTTTTTCATTTCATGCATTGATTGCTGAAAAAGAAAAACAAAACACAAATACATCTGTGTGCAATATAGAATATTCACGAAGGGGGGGAGGAGAATAGAAGTATTACAGATAAAGAGCATCTATAAGAAAAATGAATAGTGTAAGTTGGACAAGAAACAAAAAAAAATAGAAAAATAGTAAACATTGAAAATAAGAACATACAGAAAAAGAAGAATACATGTGTACAATGATTAAAAGGAAAACAAACTAAAGGGAGAACAAAATTATAGTTACCAGATATTTATGAAATAGAAATAGCATAATGGGTAGCGCACATTTATTGGAGTTAAATAAATGGTAATGATGAAAATTTTGTTTACATGGTTATTAGACTATAACATATCCTATACAGAGAGAAAAAAGTATTATAAATTATTACTCAATTCCTTACAACAGAGTTTATAACACATAGATTATTTAATTTGTCCATTGGGTGAGCCGAAATCAAAACTACTAGGGATAGTTGGTGAAAAAGTATATCCTCCAGCTTGTTCAATAATTTTAGACTCTGAAATATAAATTAGAAAATATTTTGTTAGATTTATGCGAAACAACAGACGAGATATATACTCTATGTGTATAAAATGGAGACAATCTCAACTAAATTGAAAATATATTTGTCTTTTTTTTCTGTTCCGAACAGATCCTTACAGTACCATGATGAATAGTGTCTTATATCAATGCTGTATTTTTTTATTTTATTTTTATTTGAACACATAAAGATTGGTACAAAGGAGCACTGAATATATATGCGTCACACAAGTCACTTGATTTGTGTGTGGGGTGTGATACTGCCGGAGTGCCCAGACCAAAGATGATTTTCTTAGGGGGGCACGCCCGGGCCTCCGATTTAAAGTTCTGATCCACAAGACAGTGGAGCAACGTCACGAGATGTAGTCCCATAGTAGCCGGTGACCAACAATTGTTTTATACGCCATTTTTTCCCTTAGGATACTTGAGCCTATATGTGCACCATTGGTTTGCAATCCGAGTTTTTTAACTCCCTTACGTGGATCATATATATTTGTCGACCCGGTTCGAGCGCCGGAGATTCGTTTTTCGTCCTCTTAATTTCGTACCTAATAGTCTATAGACCACGCATATCGGATAGTTAGTCATGCCCAACGTAGAACCTGAGAAATCGGATCGAAGTAACAACAGCCATATCAGAAAGTGCCATCACTTCATGAAGCCACTGGCTGACCGATTGTTAATCTGTCATGTTGGAAGGTGAAAACTGTCTGATTTGGGTGGGCTTAACCAATAGTTAAAGATGACAAGTCACACTGTTCAGAATCCGTTACAATAACCAAACGTGTACATGATCTCTATCCAAATACTTTTATATTCAATCGTTTTCAACCACATTCTTAATATGAAGTTTTTTTACGATCATTTCTACATCGTGTTATCTCGACGTGGTAATGTGATGTCTCAACTTAAGCTAACTCACACTACTGTCACGCTTGGATGATAAAACAAACTTATTCACAAATTCAGTTGTCGTTGTCAGTTAATATATCCACACTTGTCATAATCACGATCAGTCAGAAATTCTTGAAAAGACCGAACCACTCGTATACGAAATTGGGAACAATGAATGACGACAATGTAACGCGTTTTTCGGAAGATACACTAGCGTTTTGCTGTAGCATATTTAAGCGCTAAAATACTATGATCCGCAAAAACGCGAGACCATCAGAGATGTTACTGTGAACAAACACAGAATTGAAGGACATCACATTATGCGTTTTGATGAATTAAATATGATCAGTACCTCATAAGTATTTCCTTGAACTCGTGAAATATGAAGAGTATATATATATATATATATATAAATTTACCTTTTTGTTGGATACATTTCAGAGCAGTATCCACCACTCCTTTGAGATCATTTTGTTGTTCTTCACTAAGATGATTGATCAACTGACTATACCATGCATAATCAGATCTTTCTAATTCAGTCATTACACGATAAAACGTCACATATTCATCCATATCACATTCAGATTTATCCATTTGTGTGTCGAACGCCTCGAGTGTTTCTTCTTCCTCATCGTCGTCATCGTCATCATCATCGTCGTCGTCGTCTTCTGAATCTTTCTAAAGTAAAAACCGATTGCATGTCAGCAACAAACTGAAACTGGATATGTTAAATTCTATAGTTAAAATTTAAAACCTATAGGAACATCAAAGTGTTATTAACCAGGTTGTGACTAACATTAAAAAATTCAACTATATTATTGAAAGTGACTACTGCATGAAGTTGTGTTAGTATTTATATTACAAGATGCTGTTTTTTCTTCAACAGTGAATACAATGTAATAAGACTGTCGATTGATGAAAATAGGGCTTTTCTTCTTTTTCCATGCAAATTAATAACACTTGAATCAAGTAAAGACAGGATTCGCTAATGAATAACTGTTTCTGACTACCTTTATTGAAAATGCTGAAATATCGTGATCGCATTTGTAAAAAGGGGTGTGCTTTACTGAAAACGTAACAATTAATCATATCACATAGGAAAAATGATTTGTTTCATTGAACTATGGTTATTCTATTAAAATTGGTTCTTCAAAAATTTACAGAATGAAACTAAAAAAAAACATTGATGTTGAAAAAAAGGTAAACACCAAACGTAAATAATGATAAGTAGTATATATAATAGTAAGGATTAAACAATGTTAATTAATGTACGTTTTACGAAGGAATACAGCACCATAAATGAGTTCATCTTTTAATCCACAATAACTTGCTATTAAGTGTTAAATTTTCTCGAGAGAATGTAACTGGGACCATCATTTTATAGGAATAAGGGTAGATAATAGCACAAATTGTTAAAAGGATACAGTTCTACCTAATGTACATCTAACAAAGGCTAAAATCAGAATACACTGATTGAAGTATTTTAAAATGACCCGAGTCAAAGGGAGAGTGGAGGAATAAAAAAAACTCGTATATACATTTTTTACAAAATCTAATATCTTTACTGATGTGTCTTTGCTGCTTGAATTTATTAGAGTACATACTGTTTCCTTTTAACTCTTGTTTTGATTTGGGAAGATTGAGGTGGAATATAACGTTTTGGGTAAACTAGGTCTATTAAACAATTTGGTTCCTATTTATCAGTTACAGACTTCGACTTATAGTCACTAAGTCCCAGGTTTGATCTTATTCGAAGGAGTAGTATCATTAGATTTACACATGCAATGCGACTCATACCTAAGTACGTAGTAAGTGAACTAATTAATTTTGTCATTTACTTTCATACCTTAAATAACATGATGCTGTAAGAAATATTATAGTACAGTAATAAACAAGTCATAAAAAATGATTAGCCAGAAATAAAAAGGCGAGAAGATAACAACTCACATGTTTTTTTTCTCAACCAATGTAAAGCGATTGTGAAACAAAAATAAATACATCCAATATACAAAAAAACTTACAGTTGCCTCTAACATTTCTAAATAACGAACACTTTCTTCGTCTACTTCATCTTCATCGCTTCCCAAAGCTTTACCCTCTAAATCTTCCTCCGTTTCAGATTCTTCTTCATCTGAATCTACAGACAGATAGAAGATAGAGATATCAATTGTCTTTGAGAAATCAAGCATATATCTACTTATTATGAAAAGAAAATTAGCGACAAGAACTTGTTTACAAATTACAGGAATTTAATTACTCCGCCTGGAACCCCCTCTAGAACTACTACTGCTGGTCATAAACCCCGATAACGTGTTTTGAGTTGGGGCAAACAAGTCCATCTTGTGAAACAAAACCCTGTAATACAAGAGCACCAACAAGAGTAAACGAAGTACACTACTTTGGAAATTGAACGGTCTTCACATAGATATATGTTGCTACATGGGACGCCACAGGGGTCTACTGAGGCTACCAGCCCGATAATCCACCTTCGCATTGCAACTTATCACGACTATAGAAAACATTGGACGATTGTTTCATTCTAGTATGGAAAATCAGACGTATGTGTTCACGATAATACTGGGAGTCGAACTCAGAAACTTTGAACAGTCCGTGATGTTAACCAAAAAAACTTAACAATCTCCACAAATTTCCCCAACACTAATAGAAATTCCGTACTTGTAGTAACAAACACTCCGGTCCAATAATAGTAGCTTTAGTGAGAAGATATGACTAGTGGAGTTTGGTCATGTCGAGCGTGACAGTTATCTACCAGAGAAAATGAAACGTGGTTGCGCAATCAGTCAGTAACAACGTGGAACTTCGTAGGTACGTACATTAGTTCGAGTTGCCATACCACATTAACACAGAGATTCAGTTATCGATTGAAATCACGTAATGGTAGAGGTAGTGAAAGTATAAGTAGTGATAGGGAACATTAGGGTTTGATGATGCTATTTAAGGAGTATAATCCAGTGGAATAGATTTGGGAAGAAAATAAAGGACATGAAGAATTCAGAAGATTAGAGTTTGAGAGAACACAGAGAGTGGATGCACCTGTGCCATTGCAAACGATTTTCAACCATGTCATTCAAGATCTCTAACCATCGGTTGTTATCGTCTCGCGGACCCCAACCAGGTAGTCTATACCTACCAACATGGCTCACACAGTCTACTTGTCAGTGACTTCATGGATGTGTCATGTTTTGGTCTGGCTGCCCCTACCTTTCTTCCAACCTACTCCTACACCATAAAACATCGCACGTCAGGGCAGTCGGTGGTCGGGCATGCGCAACACATGTCCCAGCCATCTCAACTCATTAAGTTTCACTACTTCCTCAATTGATTTGCCATCCTTACCTAGTACCCGTTTCCTAACAACTGAGTTACTTACTCTGTGGTCCCAGGATATACGCAATATCGCGAATTGAGTGAAGTTAGACATCCCTACCATTGCGAAGTCTTGAATTCCATTCCCAATGGTTGGATGCCGTGTTCTCATTGAGGAGGACTCTCTTGCAAGGAAGAAAAAGTTGTTTAATGCTCTTTGATTTTAAATGGTGGTCTACGACATCTTTCGATATAAAGTACGAAAATTTAACAATCCTCAAAAAACCGCTCAATAAATTAAGGGAAAATAGTTATCAAATATATAAGGATGAAAGTGTGGAAAGGCCCTACCATCTTCATTTTGATTAGAAGCTTTTGTTGCGTACGCCTTTTTCAGTCCAGAAAATAGCAGTAGAAGTGATGGTATATACTTTTCACTGAGTGTTACAATTGCATCAGTTCGTTTATCAACCGGAAGAGAAATAATCAGACAAAGTCCTAAGACACAGAGGCGGCGATCATGCAATCTAAAGAGAAACATCGTTTTAATCTGGTTTACTTGAACAAAAATAAAATTTGCTAACGAAGTAAAAAAGGAAAATTGAACACAATTGCCATTCGTGTAAATTCACAAAAAACTATTGATGAATCGGTGTCGCTTGTCACTTATTTTGTTGAAATTTTGATGTAAATTGCTCCATGAAATACTGAGACTGTTTTAGTAGACCATAATTCACTATAATGTTCTAAAAATTTTCAGTTTGAGGCTGTTTGCTTATTTACAAACTTCCTTTCGAAAACCAGTGACTTTTGAGTAATATACAGTAATGGTGTATTGAAAGCAACATATTAAACTACATATTTATAAAGCGGAAAATCAAATTTGTGATGTCAAAAATACTATTCCACTACAAACGACCGAATATGATCAGACGCCCCCAAATACCCTGGTACGGCCGAGAGTGGGGTGGGTCCGCCCTCCCTCTCCAAATGCTCTTACATGGCAACGCGTATACAGCCTCTGTCAGGGAAGTCCTACTCACTGCCTTCTCGCACCACGGGTGTTGTTTACAAAAATGAGAGGATGAGAAGCGAATGTCCGGCGCTATAACCGGATCCCAAACCATTGGTGCACATGGGCTGGCTCCAGTATCCTGAAGGAACAAATGGCGTATGAACCAATCTCTCGGTCACCGGCTACCATGGCACTGCACCTCCTCACGATGCTCGACTGTTTTGTGGGTCAAAGGCTCCGGGTGTGGCTCCCTAAGAAAACTATCTGCTTCGGTTTGGGCACCCGAGCAGTATCACAGCCCTCACACATATCATTTGAGATTTGTGTGATGCATATGTATTTGGTGCCTCTTTGTACCAATATCTATGTGTTAAAATAAATAAATAATAATAGATAAATATAATGAGATAATTACGGCTTATTTTCTTCAACAGTCCAGTTTTAAAATTACTACACAGAATAATCCTATGGTATTATTACAGAGAAATCTCCAAAGAGATTTTGCAACATCAATGATTTAATATTCAGAAAGTATTTGTATACACGAAAAACAATGATCGAAATTTTTATGATCAGTAAAATTCTCAAATAAAAGTAACTTACACAAGCGAACTATATGAGTTCGTGTCAGTAATTTTTATTTAATGCGACTTATCTATTAAGAACGGATTTATGTACGCAGCTTAGAATCATATTAATACTGCTTATGATGGTGATATCCAGCCCCTTGAACTGGAGCAGCTATAATGAAGCTCGAATCTGAGATTGGATGAGTAAATCAGCAAGCTATTGATTTGAGTCGGAGCGAAGACTAAGGTGGATAGACTAACATAGTATTGAGAAAGTTTTCATAAGGAAAGCAAAAGTTGAGACATTTAAAGCTAAACAATATATAGAAAATTGAGTTGCTGCTACTTGCGTGAGTAATCTAGGACCAATCAAAATGCAGCAACATAAGAGATAATGCAAGTTTGAATGCCAGCTGCTCTATACAAAGAAACCCATACTATGAGATTTGCATTACTAACCGACCTGAAAAGACTTTGGAGTGACAGTTGGGTAAAGGTTCTTGACTTTCTTAGCTTCATAAGTACGAAGCAAGTAAACATCTTACTTTCTTAATTAAACAATCTTATGCACATATATTAGTCAACAACAAAATAAAAAAACACTTACCCAAGGAAACAGTCTGCATCTTGAATCCACCGTTTAAGGAATTCGGACAAAATGTTAACCTCTGTCCCAGGCCATGGATGCTCGATCATCATGTGAAGCATATCCATAGGTGAGTAAAGTAATCCAGCAATTACCACCTGATCGTTGATAAAAATAACGTTAATAAAATAAATGATTACTTAACAGGAAAATTACAGATTGTTTTAAATATGTTACAGGCCTGATATTTTAATGAAATGTGATAAATGTCAGTGTGAGTTCTTTCCCAACTTTTATACTGACAGTAATTATTACGTTCTTGTACATAAGCATCGACAAAACGGTCAAAATTTACATAATCAATGGACTTAAAGAAAGTTAGGGAATGGTAACAAAATCGGGATCCTTTTCGTAGATTGCTTCCACATTTTTTCAGTCACTGATATAAAAACATGCTTCAGCTACACGTTTTTCAATACAAAGTAACGGACAGAATTTTTTTAATGAAATATTCATTGGAGTCATGAACCGATTAATGTTAAACCACCACTGAAAATCTAGAATAGAATGGATGGTCGTTTCGTCCTAGTATGATACTCCTCAGCAGTGCGCATTCACAAACCCGCCCAAAACCTTCGGTGTTGCGTGAACTCAACGGTTGGTAATCAAACATGAGATACACTCAAATACCGCTGATAGTTACAAAATGCTAGAATACGAAGTTTTGGAAACCCATTTTGATCATTCTATAAATGCACGAAGTATTAATTATTAATTATATATATAAGGTCCATAGTCCGTAAATAAGCTATACAAGTTAACTGTTGCAAGTCTCCTGGGCCCGTCGTCTACAAGGAACAAATATATTTTGGCGAGTATCGATTATCCTTTCTTGATACTGTCAATAAAGAACGATAGTATACGGTCATACGTGATAACAAGTAGTAGGTAAAAGCTAACTGAGATGAAATTCTCACCTTACGAATTACCCATAAAATCTTTTCCTAAGTACATCTGCCCTTTTTCGTTAACTCATTCTAATTACCATCATTGAAAGTAAATCTCAATATCAGCATTACTGTTTAACTACATTAGCATACCGACTGACCAATTTGTGTTAAGCAAATCAATTAATGGATAAATTTAACTGTAGCTGCATTATAGTTTCATGGCACAAAAAAATTCTACAAAGACATCTACGGTTAGCGCCAATTACTTTAACCTCCATGTCTTAGAAATCTGCGATGTTATAGTTTTATCAACTACAAAACCACAAACATGTATACTATGATTGTTTAATGCTGTACAAGCGATAGCTCAATAATTAAGGCATTCAACTTTCAGCCCCACTTTACCTACTTCGGTTTGAGCGTTAGACTTATAAGTACTTACAGTCAGTCAGCCAGTCAGTAACAACGTGGAACTTCGTACGTACGTACGTACATCAGTTCGAGTTGCCATACCACATTAACACAGAGATTCAGTTATCGATTCAAATCCCATAGTGGTAGAGGAACTGAAAGTATAAGTAGAGATAGGGGACATAAAGGTTTGATGATGTTATTAAAGGAGTATAGTCCAGTGGAATAAGTACTTACACATAGTGTGTGGCTTAAATCCAAATACTTGAAGAATGAGTTAATTTACAAAGTTGTGTACGAAATAGTTGGGATTGAATAATAGAATGAAAATATGATGACGGATCGGAATAATCTACTTGTAATTGAGCGTTGGTAATAAAATTAATTAAAAGCTTCGAAGTATGGGTAAAATGTAATGGGAAAAATAACAGTCAATATCATTCTAGAAATCAAACTATCATGGTAAAAAGAGTAGGTAGCATAGTGTTAAGATGGTTTCGAAAAGCACGACGAAGCCGCAAGAGGCTCTAAAGAAGCCAAAGAGATTGGATCCAATCAAAACTTAATACAGCCTTCTAGAATACCAACGTGGCGTGCCGCGATTGGACAACAGCATAACTTGCCTCGTTGTGGATTGGCTAAATTATAATGATGCTGTAGCCAAGACTAATAGCCCAGGTTTACTTTTCTTTTTTTGATTCGTACCATTCTTGTCTTCTGATTTGAGACTGTGAGGTTCTACATGTTCGAGTCCCATTAGTTGTACATCGTATTCTACCGTAATCAAGTAGAGGACGTAACACATAGTTCGTTCATAATTTAAAATGCTTAAATTATTAGTTTATAGAAATGTTTCCAATCTGCAAACAGTTTCCTACAATGGAAAACTATCTCACAAACCAAAAAGAAGCGGCTGTTTGGTGTTTCTCTAACTGATACTAGTCTATGGTGAAAAACTCAAGTCGCAGAAAGACATTAAATCTATTTCTTAGTTGTTTCTCTGAGATAAGTACAAATTTATGCACCACTCATTCCTCTATTAGGCCATATATGACATGAACCAAGACCTTTTTACCATGAACATAAACTTAAGCAAATATTTCCGAATAAATAATTACCTGCATACAGAGGGTTCTAAGTTCACTTGAAACAAGCGGGCGTGTAAGACGTGTAAGTGCTAACTCAACATATTTTGGTACATACGGATTCACTTGACCTCGATAATCAAGTAAAATAACTTCAAGTAATTTTGCAGCATGCATTTGTAATCTTTCTTGGTCATCCATTGAGAACACCTATGGAGACAAATATTACGTAAAATGCAATAAGGAATAAAGAAAACGACCTTTTATTGACTAACGACAAAAACGTCGATGATGATAAAAAAAACTAGAATGTAACAGTCCAAACTAGAAAGGTACAAAAAACCGTGTAGGATTAAAAGGATTAGAGATGTGTTGATTTATTTGTTTAGGTAGTTTATCAAGAACACAATCATGTATTTGGTTTTGAACTGCACTCTAAATATGAGGGTTAGTAATACTACTACTTGATTGTCCAAACCAACATAGGTAGAGCAAGGTTTGAATCTGCGATTTGATGGCTGGAAGTAAGAAGCCATAACCACTATATCACCGCGCTATGTGCATCCACGACCCGAATAATTGTTAATCCCTATCGATAAGTGAATCAACCAACAATTTCTTAGTTAAACGCTTACCACTACATTCCATGTTGTCAATTCGGATTTTAAAGGTATGGACAGCTAAAAGGTTGACCTCACTATGTAGGACAGTTCGCTTTAGATGTCTTCATTGGTTCATTTAAGATAAAAATCCCCCAAGGTTAGAAACGTCAGCGTCAAGTTGTTGATGGGATGGAATGTATCAGCTTCGCAAAAGATGGAATAGAGGGTTTAAGAAGATAATGAACCACTATCAGTAATAAAGCTGATGAGAATTTAGTTATGAAGCTAGACAACCTGGTTGCGTAAATAGAACACCGACTGCTAAACAAGACTTGTACTTACAAGCAAACGATATTCTATTGACCAAGAGAAAATTAACAGAGACCGTGAATGACGAAGAGAACAAATGAATATATTTTAATACGCTACTGTCAACCCACTGTTTAACGAGTCGAAAGATCGGCGGTTGCTGATACCTCCACGACTGTACCACGAGTTAGGGGAGTGCTATGGTCAAAGCAGGTAAACTACGGGCCTAACACGACTACTTGACAGAAAACTGCAACCGAAATCATTATCCTATAGTATGGAATTTACGTTTACCCGAAGAATTAGATGGTCCTACAGAAAGGAATGCTGACAAAGGACGTAGTGGTCGTTTCGGGGGAAGGGCGTCAATCTCTATCGATAAAAGTGAATAAACCAATAATATTTGAATTGAACGCTCAACATTTAAAACTCATTTAATCCCGGACTAGTTATTACTCCAGCCCTTTTTTAAATTAACAATCATGAAATTGTACCAGTTATATAAACATAATTATTCATTTTAGTTATCTGTTACTGTTCGGTATGCATGTGTCTACTGTTTTCTCCGTAGATGACCACTACTTCGTGTTTTTGTACTAATTGTATTAATTTATATTTTAGAAACAGATTACAATTATGGGCTATATATATATATATATATATATATATATATATATATATATATCGTTATCTGTTTTGACTACAGCCCTGCTAAGAATGTGTGACAATGTAGGGACTTATTCAAGAAATTCATCTCTAGTTCATCACTTCCTACACCAAGAATCCAGTTTAATACTATTAGGTCTCACGAAAAATGCAGAACCATTAAGATTAAGTGCGCAAGTCAAATAAGCTTAAGTGCGATTAAATCTTTTTATAGAAAAGGAATATGCTCACAAAAAAATAATTTGTCTGAAGATTTGCGATGAAATATAGCGATTGAATTTATATATAGTAAACAATAGTAACCTACAAATGTCCTCTATTTCTGAAGGCAAAATTTCATAAAGTAAAATAGATCAAACTTTTTCGAAGTACATTAGAGAAGTGTAATGATGTTAATTGTACGCATGGTACTTGCTGCCTAGTAGTCTAAACCAACTGAAAAAAATGAATAGTTGTAATGAGAAATATTGGTTTTGTTCAGTTTAATACAGAAACTCTGTGAGACACTTTTATAAATTTTTAAATTAGTGAATTAACTGTAATATCTACCTCTAAACACATAGCAGTAATTTGTTCAATACGTGAAGTATTTGCCAGGAAAGCCTCACGGTCCACTGTTATGTAATTATGTAGACAAGGCATCATTTCTATACAACAATATAGACAGAAAAAAAACTTTAAGGTGGTAAGAAATTTCAAACAGAAATTAGATAGAAATTTTATGAGCACTTTGCCTAAATTTGGACGAATAGTTTAACATTAGTTGGGCACGGTGTAAACGTACGACATTAAAAACAAAACCATACCTGCAAAAAGCTTAGCAACTGAATTTCAAACAAATCCAACTTTTAGCTCGGCGATCTGATCTAAGCTTTTCAAGGGAAATAATTAAACATTAAAATTATCAAATATAAATGCGGTTTGCACCTTGTCGACTATCAGCTAATAAAGAATTGACACTATTTCGAGGATCAACTGAATGATTTTGCTTACACTGAGGATACAAGTTTCAATCTTAACAACTACCAAATCAACAGGAAGCAGACCTTTCAGTTTTAAAACCTAACAAAACTAGTTTGTATCACTACACTCAACTTTGCTTTGAATTAATTATTATTTTTATTATTTATTTATTTATTTGAACACATAAATATTGGTACAGGGGGCACCAAATATATATGCACCACACAAAACAATGATAATTTGAAGAGAAGGGGAAAAAATGTATATAAAAAAAGTAATGAACGTGGGGAATTATAAAAAAAAGAGGAAGAGAACAATGATGGGTAAAACGGAAAGGTACAATCAGAAGAAATCTTTCAGTTAAGGAAGATACAACCACTTTTTATGAAGAAGGTAAAAGGTTACAGCAGGATCGCCATTGGCTTCTATTCTGAGCCATATCTGATAACGTCTCTAGCCACTGCGTTACACCGTCTCTCGGACCCCAAATGCCCTGGTATGGCCGAGAGTGGGGTGGGTCCGCCCTCCCTCTCGAAATACCCCCACACGGCCACGCGTACACAGCCTCTGTCAGGGAAGTCCTACTCACTGCCTTCTCGCACCACGGGTGTTGTTTACAAAAATGAGAGGACGAAAAGCGAATGTCCGGCGCTTTAACCGGATCCCAAACCAATGGTGCACATGGGCTCCAGTATCCTGATGGAACAAATGGCGTATGAACCAACTTTTGGTCACCGGCTTCCATGGGACTGCATCTCCTCACGATGCTCCACTGCCTTGTGGACTAGACCTTTAGGTCAAAGGCTCGGGGTGTGGCCCCCTAAGAAAACCACCTGCTTCGGTTTGGGCACCCGGGCAGTATCTCAGCCCACGCACTAAAATCATGATGAACAATTTGCTTATGGAAAATATTCCTTTCTCTCTGATTAACATTGAAATGACTCGCATTATTATTATTATTTTACCACGTCATTTATTCACCCTCTCTTATTCCTACTTTATGTATCCGTTTCGATTTAGACAGCAGCTCGCCTATGGTGAATTAATTATAAAATGAGTTTAATCGCAAAACATCCCTCACGAAAATCTATACCAATACATTTTCGCATGATCGAAAATTTTTTAATACCTGATTTCACGAAGCATGACTTTTGACAACATTTACGTCAGTGATTATTTGCTCTGGGAATACAAATAAATGTTAGTGACAACGGGAACCAATGACATACTACTAGCAATAAAATAATAGTAGGGTATTATATAGATTTTATCTGAGGTCTAAATGCATAAAATACTTACCGGAAAAGCACTCGCAAGCATCTTTTTTAAATACAGGATAGAGCTGATCGAAAAGTTGCCACAAAAGTGGGGAAATCTTGTTAGTTGTCAGCGAGAAAATGAACGTGAGGGCTTCATCAAAGAACACACTCAAGTTATGGTCGAATATAGACTGAATCAAACGCACAACAATTGGTTCAAGCTGAGCAACAAGATTTTCATTATCTTCACCAACTTGCAGAATAGACTCCATATTATCTAAAACACTTGTAGCAACTATAGACCGGTACTCAAAGAGATCTTCTGTATCCTCAAGCTCGTTTGATTCACTAGGTAATCCGTTCTCGGATTTATTAACAAGCTGAAGAAACGTATCTGACTAGAGGAAAAAAGACACCAAAATTCAATTAGAAAAATGTAAACCCAAACTGTTCCTTAAGAAAATCAGACTAAACAATGAACTGAATAAGTTATGTTGATTAAAACATACCAATGTTTGCATAACTTCAGAAGCGATTGGAACCATTTCTTTTTCAAATGTATGTATTAATATTTCGATTACATTGTTTAAATCGTCGAATTCAGTTTGCCGAAGAAGCTCCAATAAACCTGAAAGAGAACGTACTATGAATATAACTGCCAAAATATTATGAAACAATGATACGCACTACTAAAATAATGAAACAAATTAGGCTACAAACAATTTCTAGCAAACAGTTTCCTGAACTGGTTACTACTTTGATCTAACCAGGTTACTTAAATAGAGAGTATATTCGTTGTCAGGTAAACAGGAGTAGCAGAACCTATTAGTTTTGCTCTACATGCAACACAGAAAAAAGCAATACTCTTTCTAAACTTCCTCTTGCTGAAATTTATGTTTAAATGCAAAAAAATCCTAAAATGTACAGATTTCTACGAAACCATGTTGGTTGTTTTACAACGCTATATTGAAAGTCACAGGTCATAAGACATGAGACAAACAATTCAAGTCCTTAAACACACAATGTGCACGCTGTTCACTAAAGAAACAGCCACCTTAAATTTACCTTACATGGGTTTAGACAAGTGTTAACACTTACTAAGCAATAAAGAAAAAGAAAAAAATTAGGATCAAAAACTTGGTACAGACGACAAACACGTAAACCTTACTGGAACTGATACAAACTGATTGCCTAAAAATGTATAGTTGTATTTTAACCACAGATTACCAAAAAAACACTAGGCAATTACTTGTTTTAAGTAATTATAGAATGATTCGGAAGTCACATGAAATCTTACACAACCTCTACCGGGAATGCTAAATGGGTTGTTACTTTCTGAAACCAGAACCAGATATATTATGCAAACCTACATATGCTAACTGGATTGAATACATATTTTAAGGTTAATTATTTAATGACTTTTCAATACTTCTAAGCGAAGTATGGTACATTTATGGCCCCGTTAAAATACATTAAGAAATTTAACTACAGTTGAAAGTTTCCAAGAACTTAAAAGTAATTGTAATGCATATGTTTTGTTGAAAGCATGCTCTCCTTATCTGTAAGGTTCCACTAAAACGCCTACATACTATAAAAGCTTCCGACTGCAACAAATGCCCAAGATCCCCGTGGGCATATTCCTACGTTTAACGTAACAAGATATCATAAACAGTGCCTAGTAAGAATATCGACTAAGCTCTCGTAATTGCATGTTATTAAAAGCATTTCCCTGTGAGGCAAAAAATACTGGTAAGTCACATTCAAATCGCAATTATCAAAAAGACTACGATTAATCAAATTCATAGGATATTAGAGAAAATGAAGCAGTGACTTAGTGGTTGATGCATTTAACTCTTAATAACTAAGTCCTAAACTTGAACCTTGTCGCGCGTACTTTAGTCTAGACAACAGGATAGCAACGTTAGTTTTCACCTTTAGTGTGCTTTATACCCAATACCTGGTGAACCAACAAACTAAGAGGAAACTTGCTGTGCAAAGCATTTCAAAAATCGTAATCACTACTAGGAAGGGCCTCCCTAAAAAAGACAGTTATGAAAAACAACCAACAGTTAGAAATTAATTTTCATAAAATTACTCACGTATCAAGAGTTCGTGTAGATGAGGAGCCACAAATTGATGGGCTAAATGAAGTTGAAAAAAATAAATTTTTAATTACAGCGAAGGCAAGATAGTTTCATAGCACGCTTAAGGTGTTAATTTAAACTATCCTGGAGCGTTGCTGTTTCATGTAATTTTCAGGTCACAAGGTTACTAAGCAAATTGGTCAACAATCTGTAATGTCTGAACTAATGGACTTGTGTTAGACAGAAAAAACTAGTATTGTTACTGTAACCCGAGTTATCTATGCATATATACTACTAGATTGTCTTGCTAATGCGATGGGTTGTCGTATATGGAAAAATGGCCCCCAAATGCCCTGGTACAGCCGAGAGTGGGGTGGGTCCGCCCTCCCTCTCCAAATGCTCTTACATGGCAACGCGTATACAGCCTCTGTCAGGGAAGTCCTACTCACTGCCTTCTCGCACCACGGGTGTTGTTTACAAAAATGAGAGGACGAAAAGCGAATGTCCGGCGCTTTAACCGGATCCCAAACCAATGGTGCACATGGGCTCCAGTATCCTGATGGAACAAATGGCGTATGAACCAACTTTTGGTCACCGGCTTCCATGGGACTGCATCTCCTCACGATGCTCCACTGCCTTGTGGGTCAGACGTTCAGGTCGAAGGCTTGGGGTGTGCCCCCCTAAGAAAAACACCTGCTTCGGTTTGGGCACCCGGGCAGTATCACAGCCCTCACACAAATTAATTGAGATTCGTGTGGCGCATATGTACTTGGTGCCTCCCTGTACCTATACCTATGTGTTAAAATAAATAAATAATAAATAAATTCGGAAAAATGAAGTTTTGGATACCAAAACATCTTACACAGCAACTAAGCCTCAACACACATTTGTTACTACAGATCAATTGGATGTAGTGGGTAGCTAAAAACAGACCTGTCATTAGTTTAATCAAGTTAATATTCAACTGACAACCGTTCTTTGAAGTTTAAATGAACTATATTGTTGTCAGTGTCGTAAGAACACAACCTTAATCAATAATTCAAATGTTTTAAGTAACTCAAATAAATACACAAACTTTTTAACAAACGTAAATCTAGAGTATCATGAACTGTACACTTTTCTAATAAACAGAATAATTACGGTTAACTCACCAGTTTCTTGACATCGAACTAATTCTGAGAGACAGAGTGCAGCAAACGCACGAACTGGTAATTCTGAATCAAAACATGCAGCTTTTCTCACTTCATCAACAACTTGAGCAAATATATTTTGGTCATTGAATTTAGCTTCTGATAATTTCTCCAGTAATCTGTAAGCCCTAGCACGACGATATCCTTCAGGAGCATGCAAAGTCGGAAGGACATGACCTACAAGAAATGATTCTAATTGAGACTAGAAGATAAGTACATAACTGTTGTCGGACACACCTTGTATGCAGCCTTTTTCAGTAAGATTTCAGCTATAGCTATGTACATGTGCAAAACAGCATCCTTCTCAATAGGAGAACTCTCGGAACTTAATATATGAATGCAGAACGGCATTATATTATTAAGAACACCACGTCGTTTAACACATGCTTCACTTAAAAGTGTAGATGCTGCACTTGCTGGACTAGATACCGAACCCCAATCACCTGAAAATAAAGAGACAAGAAAGAATCTTACCAGCTTCAGCTCGAATGTATTCAACTGGATCGTCTTGCCATAATTCTGCATCTTCTTCAGTATATGACATTAACGGGAATATAACTTCACGGACCAAAAGAGAGAAGTGTGGCCGTAGTAATTTCCATGAAAATGAGTTAGCCAGTCTACAAATGCAAGTTGGGATGTGTTTTACTTACGCCGAAGAAAAATAGTCCAGTGTTTGACTAAGCACAGGCTTGGAGACGAATGATTTTTGCCTGTATGCTTCACATATATTTAGAAGTACTGATATTATTTGGCCTGAGAAGGCTTTAAGATACCAGTCAGCGAATGGTTGATATAGCTTAATAACTGACCCGGGACTACCATAACTGAAAAAGTTAGTAATTTCTACACATCATACCGGGTGAAAACCCTGTTAAGTATTTTTAAAGCCCATTTTTGCCGTTTCCAGGTAGAACTTGAAGCGTCCGAATGAGTTACTTTGAAATCACCGAGTACAGTACACAGCATATCAATCCAATGAGAAAATAACTAAACAGGAGTAAGAAATAAATGACATACCTGTTTGTTCATTGCATCCAGTGGGAAATGGTAATTTATAAATGAAAAGAATATTTTGATAATGAGCGTTTGGAGTACATAAGAGTCTTCAGATTCTTCAACGATGAGACTCGACAACGTTGAATATAAAATTGGAAAAAAAACTTGCATGGTGGAAACTGTATTTGCGCGTTCATCGTTTTTTTTGTATGTGTAAACTTCGACAAAAGCATAAAGGCAACGAAGAGCTCCTCGAAGATGATGGCGATCATTTGACTCTAAGAAATGTTTCACTTGTTCGGGGAACTCTTCAAAACGAGTAGGAAAATCATGCTTAATTATTTTAGAAAGAGCAACCTGGAGATGGGTTCTTATTTAAGAAGTTACTTCAGAAAGATGCCTTACTGTAAAGGAATGGGCGCCGAGACAAGAGCTGCTACAATAGAGCTTCTGATTGCTTGCTTATCTTGCTCATGTATACAAAATCTTAACTCGCCAGATTCATCTGGCTCGTCGGGCTTCCACCATTCAGAGATGTTGTTTTTAAAATAAAGAGCTGCTGCTTGTCGTACTCCCACATCAATAGTCTCTTCGAGGATGATTTTTAATAGAGTGGGAACAAATCCAATAATTTTATGCATCTGGAAATAAACAATAAATAGATTCACTCACTTCATCAAGTATCTTCGTTCCATTTTCTTGTTTTTCCGCCGACAGAGTATTACTTAATGCTTCAACCACCCTAGTAGGGTCCATGCTAAAGATTCCAAAAACAACGTGACAATCACCACAAATTGTACCGCCCTACGTTCTAGTGAAATAAAACAAACACCGAACCATGAAGATTTAAATTTCCAGCTATTATGAATTGACAGAAAACAATCATTAATTTCTATCATTCTTTTATTTGTATTGAAACTATCAAAGATGAATCTTTATTGATTGAACATCAATTTTAGCCTTTTCGACCAAACATTTGGAAGATTAGTGATTTACTTTAATTACACTTTAAAACTTTGTAGTGTGACATCTTCGAGGTAATATCTAAGGGTTTCGTGTATTTATCTTCCCGATAACCATTATTATATAAATACTAACTGTATATATTTCAGATGATATGATTATAATTTATTATCGAACAACGCAGATCACTACGCCACAAGCACACTAAGCGAACTCGACCGGAAATGCTAATACAAGCTAGAAAGTACGGAGAGGGCTTAGGAGCCAAACAAATTAACAATATTCAATCATATATATATCGACTGCACCCACCAGTGATAGTAATGGAGATGATAAATATCAGTGATGGAAGTTAATCGTTGGGAAGTGCCCAGAAAGCAACGTGACCATCCTGATGAAGGATCTAAACGCCAAAGTTGGAATGAACAACAAAGGTTATGAAGATATCATTGGACGACACGGACTGGGAGATAGGAACGAGAATGGCGGGAGATTTGCAAATTTATGCGCATTCAATAAATTGGTTACGGGCAGCACTATATTTTGATGGAGTTTTGTTTTCTAAGCTCATCGGATCACACTGCGCAAAACCAAACCGACCATATCTGCATCAACAGAAAGTTCAAGATGACAATGGAGGATGTGAGAATCAAGAGAGGAGCTGATAAAGCATCAGATCATTACTTGCTAGTCGCCAAGATGAAATTTAATCTCAAGAAGCACTGGACAACGGAGCGAACAGCAGCATAGAACTTCTTCGAGATGCTGACAAACTCATCAAATTCAAGACAGTCCTCAGCAATAACTTCCAGGCCTTTCATGATCTACTCAATGAAGAAGGAACTACTATGGAGAGCCACTTGATAGGAATAAAAGAGACAATCACTTCAGCATGTCATGAGGTTCTGGGCTACAAGAAGCACCATCACAAGGAATGGATCACTGTTGATACACCGGATAAGATTCAAGAAAGGGGGAACAAAAAGGTAGCAATCAATACCAGCCGAAAAAACGCATAGAAAGCCAAGGTACAAGCTGAATACACAGAAGTAAACAAGCACGTGAAGAGGAGCGTCATAACTAACAGATCAGTTACTTCCCATAGGATCAAGGAGATCGAAAACTCAGAACCAAAAACTCGTTTGGAGCATGACATTGTTCTGATAAAACAGATACGTAATCAACTCATGCCTCAAAATATCTCTGGAGTCTTCGTGCTAAAGGTTTTTAGACTAGGTAGTCTAGCGAACTTGAAGCCTAATCAATCCAAACTGCTTAAATTAGTATTCAAATCTTCGAATGAAAGGGACTTAATTTTACGAAATGGACATAGATTAAAGGGTTCGGTAGTTTTTATCCGTAAGAACTTGCCGTTGGTAGACCGTGTAAAAAGACGGGAAGCCGAAAAATAACTACAAATTAGGTTAGACACTGGCGAAAAGGACCTAAAAATTGTAAACTATCGGGTTGTGAGTCTTCAACATAGTGCCGAAGCCACTCTGGATGAAGCACGAAGCCACTTTAATAGGCTTCGGATCTGTTACACTAATTCCTGAAGCTTGCTTATTAAGCAATCGGAACTAGGTGTACAGATTGACTCGACAAAGCCAGACATAATCGCATTCGCAGAAACCTGGCTGACACAGTCTATAGATAGTATGTAACTTGATTTTGAGGGTTTTACTTTGGTAAGGGCCGACAGAATACAAAAGCGTAAAGGAGGGGGAGTAGCTCTATTCATTAGGAATGCTATCTCACTTGTTATTAAGGACAGTGTATCCCATGAGAGGGAGACGTGTGAATTGGTTAGTTGCCGCTTGAAATGCAAGGGACAAGAGCTGCTAATTGGTTTGGTCTATCGCAATTCAAGCTATGAGGTGAATGATGTCCTGCTAAACAGGCTCAATGCTTGGTAGCAAAGTGGTCGATGTCTAATCCTAGGGGACTTTAATACACCTATGGTAGACTGGGGAAATCTGCGAACCGAATCATCAGATAATTCCTTCGAGCAGGAACTAGTTGATGCGGTTATAACATGTGCCCTAGTGCAACATGTGAAAGAAGCGACTAGGTACGACCTGGACACTGAATCATCCTTACTAGATCTTATATTAACTCAATATGAGGGAGACGTTGCGAAACTCAATTACATGCCACCCCTTGGTAAAAGTGATCAAGCAGTTTTAACTCTTGACTTCCATATAACTGTCAATATCGAGCACGCGTCAGCTCAATCCAGACCTAACGTCTGGAAAGCAAACATACCAGATATCATGCACTCAACATCGTTAGTAGATTGGACAATGGACCCAGAGTCCTCAATTGAAACGGCTTGGGACGCATTCGGAAATTTATGCTTAAAAGTCACCGCACCTTACATTCCTTGGACTATACCAAGGGGGCTGAGAAACTCCCCCACCATGGTTCAGTAGGGAGGTCCGCATCCTTCTCCGTAAGAGAAGAAAAGTGTGGAATAGATATAGGTTACTGAGGACTGATGAGACAAAACCTCAGTACCGAAAAGCTAGGAATACCTGTGCCTCGACTCTCCGTATGTCTAGTAAGCTGTATGAACAAAAAATTGTTAAGGAATCCATAGAATGTCCTAAACGCTTGTATTCCTATATAAACCAAAGGACAAAAAGAAGAGGAAATATTCACGCACTATGGGGAGACAGTAGTGCCGCATTATTAGTAAAGGATAACTTTGCCAAGGCTCAAGTGTTCTCAAACTACTTTAGCAAGATGTTTATCATAAACGCACCCTTCCCGTCAGCGCATACAAACCCCCCCCACACACACTGGATAGCGTGACCATTAAAGAACTCGATGTCTTTGGTCTGCTAAATAAGCTTGATGTAGGTAAATCCACGGGCCTCGACGATTTGCATCCTAGGCTACTGAAGGAATTATCTAACTTCGTCGCAAACCCTTTAAGTATATGCTTTAAGCTATCCGTAACGCAGGCTCGTTTACCGAAAGACTGGAAGAACGCCATAGTAAGTCCTGTCTTCAAAACAGGTACAAAACATAAACCTGAAAATTACCGACCCCTTAGCCTAAATAGTGTGGTTGTTAAAATCTTAGAAAAGATTATTCGGAAGGAGTTGTTCAAGTATCTCGATGTAAACTGGATCCTTTCGGAGAAGCATCACGGTTTCAGAATAGGTTATTCTTGTCTCACTAACTTATTAGTCACTCCTGAAAGCTGGTGCGCTCTTAAGGACAAAAAGTTACCTGTAGACGTAGCCTACATTGATTTCAGCAAAGCTTTTGACAAAGTTCCGCACAACCAGTTGTTATATAAGCTAAAACATGTCGGACTTGGAGGCAATCCATTAATGAGGATAGAAGGCTTCCTTGTTGGGTGCCAACAAAGAGTACCGGTGAACTCAAAGTTATCTAGCTGGGAAACCGTGCTTAGTGAAGTGCCCCATGGTACAGTTTGGGGGCCAGTGCTATTCCTCTTGTATGTAAATGATCTTCCTCGCTTACTATCATCATCGGTCTTGCTATATGCTGACGATGTCAAGATATGTAGTACGATGCGATGTAAGGGTGATAGCTTAGAACTCCAAAATGACCTGAAGAAATTATCCGAATGGTTCCATACATGGCAGCTGCCGATAAATACTTCCAAGTGTGTTGTGACGCATATCGGTCATCAAGATACAGATACATACACGATGAATAACACTGAGCTACCTGTTGTCCAGACACATAATGACTTAGGAGTCATCGTTAGCCAAGATCTAAGGACTACTGCACACTGCGGTGCAATAGCCGCCAAAGCTTTTAGAACTTTATGGTCAATATGTAGGGCGTTTACTCATATCGACGCTTGAACGTTTTTGACTTTGTATACAGTGTTCGTAAGTCCTGAACTTGAGTACTGCATACAAGCGGATAGCCCCTAGCTAAAAAAAGACAGTGAGCTTTTGGAAAAGTTTCAGAGAACAGCAACTAAGCTGCTTCCTGGAATAGCGAAGCTTCCGTATGATGCTGGACTGGCCAAGTCAAACCTATTTTTTTGTCAGATCGTAGGACTAGAGGCGAACTGATTACAGTTTTCAAATTTCTGAGTGATAAATTTGCACCTGATATGCCCTCACTTTTCTTGTCTTCCGAAACAGAGAATTTACGAGGGCATGTAGAATTATTATAGACCTAATCCTAAAATTGTAGATTTGTCACCATGTAAGTGCCTAATCTATAAGATCTTACGTGGAAGTCACATCATCATCTACACCAATTCACTGCATCGTAACAAATACCAATACATGATAGAGAACAATCTTAGTCTAGAGATAGAACAATAAATTTAATATGAATAAAAGATATAAGGTAAAATGCAGAAGGGACCACGCCTGAATGGCCGAGCCATGCCATCAGATTAACTCCAATTTATTCAATTCATTCTCCCTGCCTTATCCATTCTTCTGTATTTCGCAGATGATCTGGCACTTCAATCGCATACACAACAACAAATGCAGGAAAAGACGACCAGTGCAGCAGCAGTAGTAGGTCTCAATATACACAAAGGGAAAAGCAAGATTCTCCGATACAACACAGCATACACCAATCCAATCACACTTGACGGAGAAGATTTCGAAGATGTAATAACCATCATTGATCAACAAGATGGATCTGATGCAGATATGAATGCGCGGATCGGCAAAACAGCAGCAGTATATTTACAACCGATGAACATCTGGAACTCAAAACAACTATCTGCCAACTAACACCAAAGTCAGAATTCTCAATACAAATGTGAAGACATTCCTACTGCATGAGGTGAAAACCTGGAAAACTACAAAAGTCATCATCCAGAAGATACAAGTGTTTATTAACAG